GGGGTGTCAATTTCAACTGTTACCCTCAAAAACAGGCACAATTTATTTTATTACATGAATACAGAATGTCTTCTTGATTTAGGATGTCAGAAAAAGAAATCGTCGATCGTCTTTACGTTCATGTTTAGAAAGCTTTCAAACTCCACGCTACTTCGAAAAAGATTTACTGACCTCTTTATTGTTTATTTGATACTCTAATAGTCCTTTATCATCTAAAGTTTCGTTATTTCTGCACTCGCAAGCATGCTTCGTCTGTCGTTTGTTGTTTTCAAGAAAGCTACATCGGACGCAAACTTTTATTGACGTCCAGTTTATTCCGGTGTAATGACAAAAAGTGACCCCGTAGAATATTGACCTGGGGGTCCTTTTTCTACGTAGAAAAATGACCCCGGGTCAGTCTTCTACGACAAGTAGGGTCATTTTTCGACTGTAGAAAAACATTCCAGACCAGTAATTCTACGACTCCACACACGTTGAAAAATGACCCCCGTAGAATTTTGACCCCTACTCTTTTATACAATAAAACCTTATGTATGTGTCTCCTGATATTTTATCATACTTTCTAATGCAAGTAGGGAAATTTTTTATGTACTTTAATTCTTTCCAACATATATTTGATTGCATATCTTAATAGTAGCATCACTATCAATGTATCTGGTATGGATTTAATTTTGGCTTGCAGAATCCCGATGAATATTTATTAATTGAGGAGCATAGATTTATAATTGTATTTTGGGGTGTTTTTTATCATTCAAAGGTTTCGTTCCGAAAATGACATGATATGTTTCTGATAACTATAAACGTTGAATTTTTTTACAAATCCTAAAACATAGCATAGAAGCAAGAAAAACAACGTTATTTACCTATATAAATTCAATTTCCTTGGCGCTTACATTTTAACTTGCATAAACATCTGTATGGATGAAGGATATGGAGATAACGAACAGTATTCAATATCAATGCAAAGTCCATCAAACAATACAAAATAGGAGCAGAGCAAACATGGACCTCCAAAACATCAGATGTGGGATCAGGTGCCTTGGAGGAGTGAGCATCCCCTGATGACCGGTCACACCTGCCTCTTGCTCCTAGTCATCATCGGGAAATAGCGGAAAAATCCATCGTCAATTCAATGTAAAAATAATTGACTAACCATCATCACGAAAAACGTCAGTCAGTATTTGAATTGATGATGAATTGTATAAATTTTGCTGACAAGGTCATTGTATCGACCATAGAACTTATAAAATGATTACTTCAAACGAATATCCTTGGTTCATCAACTTGCTTTACAATGATTAACCTCGTTTAGGAAAATGTTCATACGTAGATCATGCTCTTGCGTATCGAATCAACACAGATATATATACTTCGTATGCTGGTGATGAAGGTGTATTGCTGCGTGAGTAAGGGAAGTTGACTAAAGAAAAGTTAAATTCATCATGTTTATCATATAGCCTGGTTGTTAGATTACCATAAAAGTCTTTTCAATTAAAATATTCAAGTATGAAACAGATGTGTCAGACTCTGTAGTATCTTTTATCTCAAGCTCACAAGGATATATCGTATCGACGAAGGACGGCGAAGGAATGGAGATTTCCATTGTTAATAAACCATACGTCGTCGTCGATATATATACATGTATAAATGTCGAGTTGAAGGCCACAGAAAGTGCTTTCTTCTTTTCACGCATAAGATCTTGCACAAACTCTGCTTCATAACCGTATGAATACAAAAATAGGTCTGCTAATAACGGATAGGTACACATGGAAATATCAATAGATTGTTTGAAGACCTGGTCTCCAAAAAGCACGTGGATTTTTTCAATCAGAAACTCAAGCTTCTTTTTTATGTCAACTTCAGAATACTTGTGTGTGTAATCAGAGTGTGTTTTAACAAAATAATTTTGCAAATGACCAATTACCAGGTACGAGAATTTACGAGTTCTATTTTTACTGTAAAAGCAGCTATCAAGGATATCAAAAAGTCTGGACTATAATTTATCGTGGAGAATGGTTGTGTATAAAGCTGAAAAGTCGTAAGTTTTTAAGGTGTTGATTTTGTTAAATCTTGTGATTTTTATATTGTACAAAAGTTCTTTGGAACTTTTGAGTATCCAAATCTGATTTACACCACTTCTTGAATATATTGTTGCACAGTACTCTTGAAGTTTTTCCTTCATTTCTGTCAATATCTTAGTGAGATGTAACGAAAGAGGCATGGTTGAACATTTACTGAAATCCGCAATGTATATTTGTTTGTAAGGATTCTTATGAAGTTTCGGAATCCAATATATATAGGGTAGTTAAAATACAAAACTGACTGATTTTGAAGAATTTCTTCCGCAGAAAGGGGAGTATGAGTATAAGTAGGATTACCACTTGTAGAATTAAATCCAAGTTCTTCCAAAATATAATTTATACATGTATAAGCCTTACAAACGAAAACAATGTTACCTGCTTTGTTGGAAGGGGCCCGTGTGTACTTATCATGTAATTTATCTACTGAGTAATTCTTTTTTCACTTCTGGATTATTGAACACAGGATAGATGGTTTTCGTGTTGCCCCTCAATCTTTTAATAAACTTAAACATGAATCTGATACATTTAATCCATTCTGACAAAGTGTCAACGTCTTCTTTTTTATACCTGGCCCATTCTGCGTAATTTTCAATAGAATCCATAATATTTATGAAATTCCAACGCCAGTTGAAGGAGCGGGTTTATGCATTCTGCTTTAAATACACATTTTTTAACTACCTTATATAAAGTACTAAATTTGTTCAAGTATATACAGGGATTACCATACACATCGAGAACGTTCTTATAATGATATTAAACATTCCTCCAAAACTGGCAAAAATTTATTTTACATCTGAGTGAATAACAGGTCAATCTCAGAGATGTCCATAAATTAAAAAAAATACTTCCCTTTTCAACACTTTTTAGCCCACAGACACCAGACCAATGGTTGCTGTTATATCCCCTTTCCTCTTTCCCTCCGAGATTTTATATTATAGACATTACATTTGCAAATTAATGAACTCAATTACTATATCATGCCATTACTTCGATATTAAGTCCTAGCACATACCGTCCAAAAGTTAATGCTTAAGTATAACAATAAAGTAACAACTGTTTCATTATGCAACATTGTTATACTTTTATTTTAGTAAAAAAAACTCCTAAAATCATTTTATGTAAGTACATGTGGAACGGGGAAGACGATACTACATGTGCCAATTTTTGGAAAGACGCACACTCCTTTCTTGTAGTTAATCATGTTTTAAACCACACCCCCATTTTGTCAAGGTTTTATTGACACTAGCAAACGACAAAAGACATTTTACAGGTTTTGAGCCAACCAAATTTTGTTTCCCTTGTATCATAGGTCAGAGGCAATTTAATTTCGAACTTATTTTTACAAACCAAATCATTCCTATGTTTTTATGAGAAGTTTGAAACTTCGTTCATAGAAAACCAAATATTTTTATAAGATCTAATGTTTAAGCTAGCACACTTTTCGTGCCATTTTTAAACGTAGGGACCAAAAACGTTTAACATTTTAAAAAATAAAACTTTGTTTTGATTTTGCAAATTATTTATCCAGGGTATAAAATAAAAGAGATTTATAATAAATTAAACATGAAAACTTTTTTCTGACACCAGCTAGAAAATAACCTTTTTAAAGATTAAAATGACAACTGTGAAAACTTTCTATATAAAATGTAATAAACGTTTCAATGAATGTGCGTATCTTTGCTCTAAAAGCCTTTAGTTAGAACATTTAAATATTGTTTTCCTTTAATTGGGATAAAACAGTTTGTTTTAATAAAGAAAGGTATTGTATAGCTTTGACTTCGTTATTTAAGCTTACAGTGCTGCTATCCTATAAGTTGACAATCCTATCCTATCCTATCGTGAATCCTGCATCCACAATCCTATCCTGTGATTTCAGTCTAATCCTATCCTATCCTATCCTGCAACTCTCAGTTTTTTAATATTTAGGAATTAATTTGACAAAACGAAAAAAGGAATTACCAGAAAGAAAAATCAGATATAGTTATGGTATTCATTCAAATGTTATATATTTTAATGGAGAAAAATAATCGAGATCGGCATTCCATAATTCCCGACTGACCGCACAAATTAAATTTACGAATTATCATTACCATGTTAAAAATTAATGTTAACAAACAGATCGTAATTACACGTGGACAAGTACTGATTTTGCAAACATATGTAAAGAAATTGGCCTACCAGAAGAATTAAAGAAAAATATACTCAGTGTTTTAATTTTCCTTCTAACAATGATCGGGAGACCCGGGATCGCGACTTGCGTCCGACGTGTAATATTTAATTATTTTTTTAAATTCATAGGCCTATACGGTAATAATGTTTAAGTATATGTTTCATGTAAAATTTTATTTTTTCCTATTAAACTGAGCACCATGAAAATAACATGCGTGTACATTTATAGTCTAACTGTGGCTGTGTAACAGGTTTTTCTGTATACAATTCTGATAAAGAAGATATGACTAGACCATAAACCAAACAGACAAGTCAAAATGTAGATCTAGAATATCTTGACTTTCACATATTAAACATTTTAAATGTGAAATTGTCTTATAATTTCAATATTAATTGTATGATCTTTTTATTTAAATTCATAATTTATTCTTTTTTTAAAATTTCAGTTCATCATCTATTGTATGTGATATTTTTCAAACATGCAAAATATATAGTTGCTAAATTCAAGATAATCAAAATGTTAATTTTTTTCATTTAACTTCAGTTTCTCCTCAGTTTATGGTCAGCTCAGTGCCGTACAAATGTATTTCAATTTCCAATTTTGTTTTATGTGTGAAAATTTAATAATCTATGTTTAATAGAGTATATTATCTAAATTTGATATTGGTTGACAGTAATAAATATTGTAGTGAGGTCACACATATTTCAAAGATCTTATAAAACATGCATGAGAAATTCAGAATTCACAGTATTTACAGTATTTATAACTCATTCTTGAGTAAAGCAAATTTGTATTTGACCTTGGCATTTGATCTTCAATGTTAATCAGTGTCAGATTGAGAAATATTAAAATGCTCCACACATATTCCTTACATCTTATAAAACATGCATAAGAATTCACAGTACTTACAGCATTTATAACACATTCTTGAGTAAACTTTGTATTTGACCTTGACAATTGATCTTAAAATTTTCAGTGTTTAAATGAGGAAAAATACTTCATCAAGTTCACAATATTTTTATTCAAGGTGATTCCTCAACAATGTTTAACAATTCAATATTCCATTACCATGAGACAGTCATTAAAAGTATCCATGTACAGCATTTATGAATTTCAATGCAAAGATCACAGATACATGTACATGAACTTTGTTTAAATTTAAGTTTATCAATGTTTTTATTACACTTGTATAATGTTTTACATGCATATTATTTGGCTTTCTTGACCGATGCTCAAATTGAAATTCAAATGTCAGAGTTATTGTCAGAGAGATTGTCATAAACCGAACAGTTCTACAAATGTCAACAATGCACAGAAAACAAACACTGATCTCCTAATAAAAGCACCATGATTTTAGACTGAGGACTCTTTGACACTGGGTTGAACATCTTTCATCATTTACTCTAACAGCATATGGCATGAACTGCATTCTGTACAGCTGCAAATGTGCAGGGTTTCCTGAAAAAAAAATAAATAAAAAAAAAAACATAAAATGAAATTATAGGCATGTTGATTCATGATTGTAAATTTTGTCATACACATTTCATACACATTTCATACACATTTAACATGTTTAAAATGTTTTTGATTGTGATTATCTTTCACATTTCATGTACAATTGGTTTAAATTTCACCTTTTTCTCTCCCAAAAGTAATGCATTTAGAAATCATGAAAAATAAAATCTTATACTGCAACCTCAGGCATATAAAATAAAAAAAAAATCTTATTTAACATAATTTACTTGTACATTATCATTCATTTTATCTTGTCAATTTGCTAACAAGTATGAATACATTTGTTTTAGTGATTTTTCTCTATTTTCTGTTTGTATTTATCTATTTAATGTTTTTTCTTGGTTTTCTTTTTTTGAAATTTGAATATGAAAATCTGTGTAACAACATGATGACCAGAAAAATTCAACATTTCTTTCAGTTTTACTCTCAATATTTTTGAAAGAAGAAAATCACTTGTTCCGAGAAACTGCGGACATGTCACGTCAACTCAGATAATGATGTTTAATATGTATTTTAATGACCATGTAAAAATACATGATAAAAATAAAATCATACATACTTTTTAGGTTGAAATCCTTTATACTGTGATGACGCATGAGTGCAGGCAATCCATTTTCTGTAATGATTAAAATCTAAAGATTAACTTATGTTTCATAACTCACAATACATCATACATACATGTATAATATGTAAGTGCACTGCTGAGTGAGCTTATTAAACATTTAAGCAGAAGCATAAGAAATGGTCATGATGATTCTACATTCATTTATTATTAATTACACAGAAATGAAAAAAAAAAATTCTGACCTTATTAGGGAAATGATAAGAGTAACAACCTGATAAAGGCATAATACATATGATTGTTTTAGTCTTAGAGCTCATTGATAGCTGATTGAATCATATGACAGAGTATTTGTAAATATTAACCCCCCTTCTGTGTACACTACTTCTTTTTTCCGCACCCAATTTTTGTTTATATTAAAAAGAATAAAATGTTTATAGTTTAATACATTAGAACATTGTTTAAAGGGATAAATATGTATAAAAATGCACACATGTACAGTGCACAGTGTGAAGTATACTTACATGATCTCGCACATCATCTATTCAAGTCCTCTGTTGACGGTTCCTGTAGAATTATCCAAACAAACAGAGAATATTTAACAGAAAAACATGTATCACACTTTTACACAATTGAGAATCGGTTAAATCATCCAAACAAGCTAAAGAAATACGGTCTTTCGATGCCTGGACTCTTCGTTGTTTACATTCCCAAATTCTTCCGGTGATCGTTCACGGTTAGATCGTACGCCGTGTTACTCGAAGTTTATAATGTAAATCTGTGTTTAGAGAAAAGAATGTTTTATTTTCTATTGAAAATTGATAAATATTTCTTTTGTAAACATTTTATATCGTATTTCGTTTTTGTAATTTATTCTGAAATATGAATAAACCTTTGCTCGAATCTGATTGGCTGTAGGATACAGGATAGGATAGGATAGGATAGGATTGGATTAACTTCTATAAGTTTCTATCGTGAATCCTCAATCCTGAATCCTATCCGATCCCATCCCATGTCAACTTGTGGGATAGCAGCACTGTAAAAGCTTTCCGAACTAACACTTCAAAGCATAATGTAGCTTGATATTACCCGTATACATTCGCTGAACAAGGATATTCCTACCAAAACGAATGTTTTTGCATCAAAATATGACAAGGGGTCATTATTCTACGGGGTCATTTTTCTACAATGCACACGGAGAAAACGACCCAAATGCCATACTTTCTACAGAAAAGACGGTCATTTTTCTACGTAGAATACTGACCAGGGGGTCAAATTTCTACGTAGAAAAATGACCCCCGGTCAATAGTCTACGGAGGTCACCTTTCGTCGTTACACCGGTTCTTTCAAAAGCACAACTGACGTTTTGAGAATTCTACGGTGAACCGTACGCGCATAATTTCCACGCATGTGACATTACCGTTGTGTTACCCGTTGTAACGTGTGTTGCTAAGGCTGGGCGTAATAGAACAGATTGTTAACTGCGTCTAAAGCAATCAGATTTTAGTTTTTAACATGAAAGTATAATAAAATAGTATGTTGTCAGAAAGACAACAAGATTAAAAGCCTGTTCTGGTGCTGTTTTATTAATTCTCATCGGAATGCTATTTGTAATCATTATATTGTTTTGAAAAGATAATTCCTGGTTAAAGTTTAGAATTTATTCAAGTCCAAAAGTACAAAATCAAAATTCACATTTTTACACAAAAATTCCTAAAGTGAGAGTGAATTACAAACAAACTCGGGCACGTCTCATCTTTGACAACTCCTCCCACATTTCATAAATGAACCAATGAAACAAGTTAAAAGACAGTAGTAAAGTTTGGGGAAAGCTCAATGACATTAATTTATAACACAGGAAACAATTTGAGTAAGCATAACAAATTCAAAGAAACACCAGTGTAAGATCTGACCATAAACCTGATAACAATTATGAGCTAATAGCATCGATACCGTGGGATGGAGAGAGAGATGTCAAGTTTGAGAAATTACAAACACGTGCAGCAGTGCTCTTTCTGAAGATCAAATAAAACAATTAATTTTCCAGTACATCAATTATAATATTTAAACAATACCTAAATCATAAGTACATCTAAGAAACTAACAAATTGTCTTTATCAGAAATATGAATTTATACGCATGTATATAACATCCGCCCCCTAAAAAAAAATTGGCATACAATTTTAAACATTAAACGATAAAGACAATCATAAAATACGCACACAAAAGAAATGCTATACAAAATGATAATGAAGAAAATATAATACATGTACAAAAAGAAAAATACATTCTAGTAATGAAATCAGAAGTGAATAAAATGTTTTCGAAGCATGTATACACCATTCACTGGGCCCATCAAACACTCTCACATCTATACGAACATAATATTCAAATCAGAGTGCATCATAAGAACTCATAGCGTGCGCTTCAATGCCTAGAAAAAAAAAATGTAAACAACAAATTCTCGAATATGGTTGTTCAAAGTATAACCTGTACGGAATAACACATCCTCAGTTAGAATAAATCATACCACTTTCAAATAAAGATAAGACAATATTCAATTACAGAATTGCATAAGGTATAACCCTGTTGGAATAAAACATCCTTGGTTAGAAAAGCAGTTAATATATCAAACCAACACAAAATTTTCACGATGTATGTCACAAATACTGCATACTACTACTATATAGAATTGCATAAGGTATAACCCTGTCGGAATAAAACATCCTTGGTTAGAAAAGCAATTACAATATCAAACCAATACAAAATTTTCATATCACACGCTGTATGCCACAAATATCGCATACTAGTAATTCCTACCTTCTCAATTTCTACCGTTTTCAACAATATGTATAAGCTGTAATACTTGTGGAATAAAACATCCGTAATTACATAAACATACATATGAAACACTGTAAATTAATACAGATCAAAAGTATCAAACAAACATATTATGCAAACAAAAAAAAAATAAAATATATCAACAGTATACACAAAAGTAACATGCATTTTTTTTTTTCAATGATTTTCTGTTTTTACATTTTTTTTTTCAAGTGTTCATAATCATTTTAATACATTGTATAAAGACATCATAAGTTAGGTGGCGGTCGTGTGTCGATAGCACGTTTGGCTTTAGCATTTAAAGCCGACAATGGAACCCAAATTGCATTTTCGGCTGGTTCACCCACAATTTGTACTAAATATTTGGAATGTCTTTTTCTTAAAACCCGTTTAATTTTGTGGAATCCATCTGTGTCACTAGAAACAGAGAAGGTTGGTAAGTCATTCGGATCCACATGATCACTGTCACAGAATCTAGCTGGTTTTCGTCGAATTCTGTCAGACTTTCGCGTTACGTTATGGTGTTGGTCAGTTTGTGTTTCCGTGGATTTGTAGGTCTTGGGTGTAATACACTTTGTAACTGTAAAGTAATTTTCTGGAGTGGGCTCACGTACATACGCAATTTTAATCCTATCCCGATGCACGGGGTTCAGAACTTTGTTCACAGTTGGATCTCTTAATACTACCATATGCGCACTCGGTAAATGTTCAACAACGTAAGGACCATTAAATCGATTCTGAAACTTCTGACCCTCTCCAGATAAGTCCGCTTGAAGGTATACGTAATCTCCCTCTTTAATGTCTATTTCTTTTGTATTTGCATTGGCTAACTTTGTCATTTTGTCTGCTTTCGTCTGCGCATTGTCTTTTGCAATGCTCCGAATAACGACGAGTTTTTCAGCGTGTTCCTTCATATATGATTGTATACCTTTGTGTAAAGTTTCAAAGTTAAGTATAACGTTTGTAAGAGGAAATTTCGGTCGTTGGCCATATAAAATCTCATATGGTGAAAATCCTAAAGTTGTATTTACAGACGTGTTCATCGCAAAGACGACGGCCGGTAGGAATTTCTTCCAGGATTTCCTGTCGTTTGAAATATATGGCGTCAATTTCTCGGCTAAGGTAGAATGTGTCCGTTCACATGCTCCGAGACAATGATGTACAAAACTGGGTGTGAATTCCTGCGTGATGTGAAGACTTTTACACAGTTCTCTGGTAACTTCTGCCACAAATTCACTGCCCTGGTCACTAATAAGGGTATTACACACACCAAATAATGTAAATAATTGAAAAAGCGCATTAGATACTGTTAAAGCATCTTTGTTTTTAATAGGGATTGCAAACAAATATTTTGAAAACATATCAACAGCTGTGAAAATGTAACTATCACCGTCCGGTGTTGGCGGTAAACGTCCATATAAATCAATCTCCCAGACTTCAAAGGGTGATGAAGGCATTTGATATGCGGTGATCTTTGACTTTGTTGTAGTTTGCGTCATCTTTCGTTTTTGACAGAAATCACAAGATTTTACATAATCATAAACAAGTGTTGCTAGTTTCGGACAGTAAAAGTTTTCTTTGATTTTATCCAATGTGTCTTGAATTCCTCCATGTCCGCCCATTGGTGAATCGTGGTAAACCTCTAGCACTTTTAATACGAGATCCTGCGATAATACCATCTGGTATGGATTCAAAGTCTTCGATCTCTTGGATTTTATTATCTTTGAATGATATAGAATGCCATCAAATATTGCAAAGTCGGTATGCTTCAGCATTATTTCACGGGCTGCCTTTTGTGATGATGGTAATTGGTCACTTGTGAGATACAAGATAAGTGGCAATAGAGAGGCATCATTTCTTTGTGATTGAGTGATGTAATCGTGGGTCACGCCAATTTCTTTAATTATGTCTGGACGTGGCTGTACTGGTATGTCTAATTCTGATTCACTACAACTAGCGTGGCCCGAAGTGACCTCTTGAGGAGGAGAATGTTGGTCAGGGTGTTTATCAGATTTGTTTTGCTCATTAACACTAAATTTCTCACAGTGGGTAGTAATTGAATCACTGGTTTCTGTTGGCTGAGTGTTTGAATGTCTAGACCGTTCCTCATCCAAATTTGTTTTGTCAATTTGCGTGCGAGAGAATTTAGGCAATTCACGTGTGTCATTGGGAAGAAGAGGCATTTTTGCATTATAGCGAGGTATATCGATGTTGTCCTCAGTATCAGCGTCATAAACATTTTCAATATTCACAAAATTGCAACGCATGTGATCTTGCGCTAATAGCGTTTTCAGGGACTGTCCATTTGGTAAAGTGATTGATGTTGGTGGGTCATTTACATAGGGGAAAAATGGATCGTCCTCGTCCGGGCTTGCATCCAAAATTGTTGGAAATTCAGGATTTCTCGATAATGCATCAGGAACTACCATCTGAGCTGCAGCTTTATATTCTATTGAGAAATCATAACGTTGTAAAAGCGCCAACCATCGTTCATAGATAGCTCCCCGAAGTTGTTTTTGAAACAGCGGTTTTAAGGCCTGATGGTCACACTCAACAGTAAAACGTTTCCCACTTAAATATGTTGAACAGTCAAGAATAGCGGTAACCATTCCAAGTAGTTCTAATTTAGTTGGTCCATATGAACTCTGCCACTTTGTTAGACCTTTAGACCCAAATCTTACCACACGAGGGGTTCCATCAGGATGTTTTTGGTATAACATGTATCCAATTCCTTTGCTAGACGTGTCTACTGCAAGTCTAAATTCAAGGTCAAAGCGCGGAAAAGCCAGCACGGGGCTCTGTAGTAAAAGACGTTTTAATTCCTGAAACGCTGATTCTTGTTCGTCCGTCCAAATGTATTTTACGTTGGATTTGAGGAGTTTATTCAGGGGGTTTGCCACTGCGGAATAATTTGGTATAAACTTCCGAAACCAGTTAAAAAGTCCAAGAGCACGTCGCAATTCATTAGCATTCTTTGGTGCTGGTAATGTTTCAATAGCTTGTAGTTTATCAGATGGGGGACTTATTCCATGTTTGGATATCACATGCCCCAGAAATGTGCATGAAGATTGAGCAAACGCACACTTTTTGGGATTG